GCACTCCAGTCTGGGCGACAGAGTGAGACTCCAACTCAAAAAAAAAAAAAAGAAATTAGGATGTAAACATCCGCTATACTCCAGGAGTGTCCCAGAGCCCTGGGCAAGCCCTCCCTCCAACACCTACATGTCCCCCTCCCATTCATACATGCCCCCGACCCCAGGTGCACAACCCTGGCTGCACACATCCTGCCGTATATGCCCCCGCACACATGCCTCCCCGCACACGCCCCTCCTGTGTACACGCCCCCCTCAGCACGTCTCCCCCCACATACCCTCCCTCCCAGACCATGCTGGTCTGCTCTGCCACTACAAATGCATTTGCATTTTTACTTTACTCTAAATTTCCCTGTCATTTTACGTGAGCAGGATGCTGTCTGGCTTCTTTCACTCTGGTGATTATTTTAGATTCCTCAGCAGCATGGTGCATATTGGTTGTTCCTCCTTTATCTGCTGAGTGGTGCTTCTCCATATGGATATTGTTCCAGCATGTCCATTCTTCTGTCATTGCGTTTAGGGTCATTTTCCACTTGGGGCTGTTACACTTGCATGTGAGTCTCTGGACATAGGCTTTTACTTGTCTTGCATCAATATTAACAGTGGAGTGAATGGGTCACGCGATAGCCTTATATTTTGAACTTTTCAAGAAACTATATTTCAAGGGTGGATAGCCCAGCTATCCAGATTTGACCATTTGTATGCATGGATCAAATATCACATGGACTCCATAAAGAAGTACAACTATTATGTATTTCTAAATATAAAAAAAGACTCTTTTGAGTCAGAGTCTCACTTTTTTCACCCAGGCTGGAGTTCAGTGGCATGCTCACAGTCACTGTAGCTTCGACCTGCTGGACTCTGGCGATCCTTCCACCTCAGCCTCCCAAGGAGCAGGAACTATAGGCACACACCACCATGCCCAACTAGTTTTTTGATTTATGGTAGAGAGGAGGTCTCGCCAAATTGCCCGGGTTGGTCTTGAACCCCTGGACTCAGGCAACCCTCTTGCTTTCGACTCCCAAAGTGCTGGGATAACAGGCATGAGCCACTGCTCCCAGCCCTAAATTAAAAAAATGTTACAAGGAGCTTCCAAACTATTTTTCCGTAGTCGCACCATGTCACATTCACATAGCAGGGAGCAAGCGTTCTGACTACTTGGCATCCTCACCAGGACACAGCGTGGTCAGTCCTTAGTGCTAGCTGTTCTAATGACTGAGTGGTCCTGTCCCATGGTGGGTTGAATTTGCACTGCCCTAGGGATGATGCGATCCCCTCTTCGTGTGCTCACTTCTATCTGTCTGTCTTTGTGTGTAGTCTGTTAAAATCATCTATCATTTTTTTAAAAATTGGATTTTTTTTTGTTACTATTGAGCTTCCAGGGTTCTTTATAGAATCTAGAAACCGGTTCATTATCAGATTTCTGCTTTGTAAATATGTTCTCCCAGTTTGTGACTTATCTTTTGATTCTCTTAACAGCGTCTTTCCAAGACCAGCACCTTACATTTTGGTGCAGCCCCATTTACTTTTTTTGGAAGTGCTTTTGGGATGATGTTAAAGAAATCATTGTCTGTCCTAAGGTCACCAAGATTTTCTAGAAGTTTCATCGTTTTAAGTGTTACGATCTAACCCACTTTAGTTTATTTTTATCTAGGGTACTTTGAAGTTCATTTTTCTTACATATGGATACTGATTGTTCTAATACCATTTGTTGAAAAGGCTGTCCCTACTCTGCTGGGCTGTCTTTGGGCCTTTGTTGAGACTAGTTGTCCATGCACACATGTGACTACTTCTGGGTTCCACTGCTCTGTTCATCAGTCTTGGTGCCATTGTTATACTGCCTTGATGGCTATAGCCCCCTGCTTCTAAAATGCAGTTCCTACCAGAATAATGTACACCCAGTTCATGTTCTTTTAGGGTGAGTGGGTCACGCCCTTCCACATCCTGGCAGGCTTCCCTCCTTGTCCCATCCTTCCCCTGCTGCTGGCCTGAGCTGTTTCCCAAGACCTTCCAGCAGGGTGGCCACAGTTTCTGGTGGCCCTTTGCTGGGGCTTTTCTTAAACCCTGAAGAGCAGATGTGGCCACTTCCCCAATCTGTGGGCAGTCGGTGGCTTTGCAAGAGAAGGGGAACCGCTGACTAACCCTCTGTCCCACCCTCCCTTCCACTCTCCCTTTCTCTCCTGCTCAGCCCTGCAGCTCATTCCATGCATCTAGGGCAGATTGGACAGCAGCTGCTGTAGTGTAGACGAATGACATTCATTTGCCACCATGCTTCACGGGGCCAGGGGAGTGGGAGAATGTCCCCATTTCACAGATGAGGCCACTGAGGGCCCTCTGGAGCACAGGACTTGCCCATGTCCCACTACTGGAAGGGCAGGGCCGCTCCCTGACCCTGGGCCTAGGGCATCACATCTGCCCATCTTCCTTCTGTACCTGGGGACAAGTCCCAGGCTGTCCCCTCCTGCTCTGCCTGGTAATTATCTGTCTCAACTGTAGAGGTCCCTTAGTCTGGGGCCGCACGGGAGGAGGGTAATCATATCCTTTGAGATACCCTTTGTCTGCAACTCTGGGTCAGCACTTGTGACCCTGCCCAGCTCCACCTTGTCTGTCCTTCCTGGTTCATAGACTGGTGGCTGGAAGAGCTCCATCGGGCCCCTCTGTTCATCTCCCTTGGGTAGGCACTTCTGGTGGCATCTGGCAGGCCAGTCCTGCACAGAAGGCCTGTAAATCCTGTTTATTCCAGCAGTGGGTGCTCTCAGCCATACATGGGCACAGAGGGAGGGACTGCAGGCATCTCTCCTCCTGCTCGCCTGGCTTTAGAACAATCGTGCCTCTGACTGCTAGATCCGGGGACAGGCCCTGCTAAGGAGCAGCATGGCTTCTGGATAGGGCACCTCTTTCATTGGAGCGTCCACCCTGTCTACACTGCTATCTTTACAACAACCCATCTGTGGCTTGTAGTAGCTTGAGTTACCCTGGGGCCTATCTCTTTCACAGGTATGCACATGGCCCACTTAACACCTCCAAGGAGACTACTTCTCTTAGCAGAAAGGCAAAATCCTCCATCAGGGCCTCCAAAGCCACAGAGTCAGCCCCACCAGCCTCCATCACACCCTGTACCCAGCCCTCTTGTCTCTCCGGATCACCTCTTTCTCCCTCTGGCCTTCTTTTGGTCCTCCTGCCATGCCGTGTCCTCCACTGTCCACAGGGCCTTTGCATATCCCTCCTACATCCTGAGACACCTTCTTTCTGCCCCTCTGCCTGGCAGTTCTCACTTGCCTTTGGACCTTCTGGCCAGCCATCTTCTCTTCAGAGGTGCCTGATCCACCCTGTGGCCACCAGCTCTTGGGGTTCCATGTACTTTCCCCTCAGGACACATGTGTGTCACCGTGGCTATCTGTGATTACTTGATCAAGGTCAGTCTGGCCATGGGTCTGCTCTTGCTATGAATCCCTTTCCCTCTCTGACGTGTCCCCAGGGCCACATGTACCAGGTGCTCATAAAATACCTGCTCAGTAAGGGATTCCGTGTGAATGGACCCTCCCTGTCTATACCAGCTGCTGTCTGAAACCTTGTGTCCCTTTAGGAGTCTTCTGCCTCTACCCTGGCTCTTAGCTGATAATGAGTTTGTCACTCCTGGGCTCCTGACTGTCACGTGCTCTGGCACTGCCATCACACAGGCCACCTGCGTGAAAGAAAAGGATTCTGATTTCGTGGCTTGGGATAGGTTCTGAAAGAGTGTACTTTTCCAAGCTTCCCTGGACCTGTGTTGCTGGTCAGAGGCCACACTTTGGCCTGGTCTGGGAGGTGGGGGCACAGGTCACAGTTGTGTAGCCACGTCACCTCAGAAGTCACTGCTTGCTTGGGTCCAGGACCGGTTGTCCACAGTTGTCTGCCCCTGCCCGGCGGGAGCGTTACAGGAATGAGCTGAGTATGGAGTCCGGGCTCTGTCCCTGTCCACTCATGCACATGCCACGGGCCGTGGCTCTGACATCTTGAATTGGGAGAGAGTTGTGTGTGGTCCCACCCGGGTGGACCTGACATGGCAGGGTCCAGAGTGGGCTTTCCCCATTGGACACCCCTTCACTCTCCTCTCCTGCCCTCTGCCCTGCAGTTCACTCCATGGGGAGGGCTCCTGTCTTGCCTTTCATGTGTGGGAGAGAACTGGGTGTGCGGTGAGAGACACCCTCATCTTGTGTCACCCTAGCTTGGGTCACCGTGGTGCAGTGAGAATGAGGTTCTCACATCCCACCGCTGTGCTCAGCCTTGCCCCCTCCACGCCTCCGCCTGTGTGGGGACAGGATTTGTGGCTTGTGGGCCTTTTCTGAGCAGGAGTCACATGGATTGCAGCTTCCAGGGGAGCTGTGAGCATGGGGACTCCAGGGCCAGCTGTGGGTCCTCGCCTTCCTGGTGAGCTTTTGTGTTCCTCCTCCGGGTCCCTCTGGCACGAACTGTGCTTCTCTCATCCCTGGGCCTGGTCCCAAGGGAAGGAGCTTTCTGGTGTCTCCCAGCAAGGCTGAGGCCAGATGACGCAGAGCCAGCTGGATCCAAAACCCCTGACCTTGTGCCCACAGGTCCCTGGATGGCCGGCTGCAGGTGTCCCACCGGAAGGGACTCCCACACGTCATCTACTGCCGCCTGTGGCGATGGCCCGACCTGCACAGCCACCACGAGCTGCGGGCCATGGAGCTGTGCGAGTTTGCCTTCAACATGAAGAAGGACGAGGTGTGCGTGAACCCCTACCACTACCAGAGGGTGGAGACACCAGGTACGCACTGCTGGGGCCGTGGGGTGGAGTGGGCCGTGGGGTGGGGTGGGCCGGGCCCAGGTGCTGCTGAGCTGCCCGCTGTGTTCCCACAGTTCTACCTCCTGTGCTGGTGCCTCGCCACACAGAGATTCCGGCCGAATTCCCCCCGCTGGAAGACTACAGCCATTCCATCCCTGAGAATACCAACTTTCCCGCAGGCATCGAGCCCCAGAGCAATATTCCAGGTAGGCCATGGCCCCGGCGATGCTGCCTCCTCTCCCTGTCCCCCTCTTGCTCCCTCTGTTCCAGCCAGGAGCCACATCCTCTGGGAGAGGACCATGGCCTCAGCCCCAACTCACGGACAGTGCTTTTCTGGGCACGAGGCACGTGACCTTATACCCACCTGATGCAGCCACTGATTCTGGAAGCAGCAGTGTTGTGTGTCTCCCATAGCCTCCTGTGGCCCAGTTTGGCAGGAGCCTCAGTGGGCTGGGGCTGTGGAGGCAGCGAGGAGGAAATGCCTGCTCCCAGGCTGGTTTCCCTGTCCTTCAAGGTCAGGGTGGAGCCCCTGGCTGCAGACCTCAGGAGTCATGCTGGCTGGGAGTTGAGTTTGAGTTTTCACTCTGCAGGAAGAAATGGTCTTTGCTGTCCCCCTGGCTGCAGACCTCAGGAGCCATGCTGGCTGGGAGTTGAGTTCGATTTGAGTTTTCACTCTGCAGGAAGAAATGGTCTTTGCTGTCTCAGATCGCAGAAGTTTCTAGAAGCCCCTGGTTTATATGTAGATGCCATGGGAATCACCAGCTCTGGGCTCCCAGGAGGCTGTGCCTGGCACACTCGGGTGGACCAGGATGCCTGTCCACCAGGATGGTGATTCCCCCACAGTCCTCTTAGGTGTGCTGGTGTGGATGTGGCACACCTGGGGTTAGCTTACTATATGGAGGTGGGCTCCGGGCCGCACAAGGTTGGAGCATAGGAAAGGGCCCACCTCCCCACCCTTCTAGACCCTCCCAGTAGCTCTGGTCTCTGGCGAGTCACCCCCTACTCTGTTCAAACAACAGACCTTGGGGGCTGAGTAGGGTCGGGGTGTTTGGAGAAATGGACTCACTGGCTCTGCCACTGCTGCCTTGTGGGCCAACTAGGGGGACATGTCCCTAAGGACAGCAAGGAGTGACAGCAGTGGGTCCACAGGAGACAGGAGGGGTGAGGGAGAGTCCGAGGCTGCAGCCCCTCAGGGGATGGAGTCGGGGAGGCCAAGGCAAGTCCTGGAGCCTCCCTGACCTTGAAGGACAGGGAGACCAGCCTGGGAGCAGGCATTTCAGATGTGGGCATTGGTCTGGGGTACACAAGGTGGCATGGTCCAGGTGGGAGCCCGAGGTAGATGGGCACACAGATGGCAGAACCAGGGTTGGTGCCCTTGCTCTAGGCCAGAGTGCTCCCACCCCACGCAGACACCGTGGTGTGCATGTGTCACATGTCTGTACATGGCATCTTGGAGCCAAGCCATGGAGGCATCTAACAGACCTCTTTTCTTCCGACTCCCAGAGACCCCACCCCCCGGCTACCTGAGTGAGGATGGAGAGACCAGTGACCACCAGATGACCCACAGCATGGATGCAGGTCAGTTACACAGGGCCGTGCTCTTGCTGGCACCCGACTGACCCTTGGTGTGGCCGGCCCCCACTCCTTGCTTCTCCCTCCTCTCTATCCTGGCACTGGGCATGGAAGAGGGGCTGAGCTGCTCAGAGGGTAGAGAGGCTGACAGGTGGAGCACACCTGACAGGCCACCACAGACACTTCCACCCAACACACACCCACCCCGACACCTTTACCCCAGACATTCCCACCCTGACAAACCTACCCAACACACACCCACTCTAGCACACCTACCCTGACAACCTCATTCTAGACTCACCCACCCTGACACCTCTAACAGGACACCCCCAGCCTAGACACACCCCACCCTAGACACCCCACCCAGGACACCCCTACCCAGGATACCCCCACCCTGACACATCC